AGTGGGAAGAAAAAACATGGCGCAGAGGAGAATCGAATCCACTGATCTCACAGCACTAAGATACCACGCGCCCTGGACCGAGTTCCAAAGCCTGATTACTCCACAACTGAAGGAGAATCGTGGCCGGAAATGGCGGCATTGGAACTGTCTCGTCGACAGCTTTTCGAAAATGTATCGTTTTGATTTTCGGAACCGTCTTCGTTGTGGAACAATATAGGTTGAGACTTGGTCAACGGGATGTGGTATCTTGTGCAACCTACGGTTTCCGTTGATTCTTGCTTTCAACACGATATATAAACCGGTCACCCCGGTGGTCTAGTAGGTAACCTCTCAGCCTGCTAAGGGCCAGGTCATGGGCTCGAGTCCCGGCAGAGTGAGTTTTTTTCTCACTAAATAAATCCTGGTCTAGGATGAAAGCGACGCGCTGCAAAGCTCGTTGTTGATAGTAAAACCATAGTCGACTTCATAAGTCGCGAGAGAAGGGATTGCTGTACCCTTCTCGCGATAAAAATATCTCAGGCTGGAACCGCAGGAGGGGGTCCAACCCCCCCCTCCTATGTGACCCCGGTTGGGTCGCCTAGCTGGTAGAAGTGGAGGATAGGGGCCAGAGGGGCAGACGACAGAGTCCAATGATGGGAGATAAAATACATATATATTTATATATATACATGGAAAGTCTAGGGGTACACAACTACACAAAACACAACAGTGTTCCCTCAATTCATCCTTCTTTCGCTACCATCCAGATATAACTGGAGGAGGGGAATCGCTTACCAAAGCAGCAACTGCTGCCGGAATGTCGCTCTCTCTTCTCCACGCGCGCCGTGTACAAGCTCGTCTTGCCGCTCTACAGCAGCAGTGTCATGCGGTGGGTTTAGCTCGCGGCGCTTGCTGCGCCCAGAGTCCGAGCATCTAGAGATAGTATTGTAGCTGCTTGCCTTGGTTACGAAAGGAATGACACCAGCCTGGTCGCTATTCGTCTTGGCATGCTGCGGCCTCTAGTCGCCTGTGTCAAGGCTAGCTAGCTCGTCACACGAGGGCGATGCAGGGCCACCAAAAAAAGCCATGCACTAGACTGTGGTATACTATGACAATAACAATCAAGCTGCTTGATTGTTATTGTCATAGACTATACCATACTACATGCAAGGCCATGCATGCATATTTCTGCAGGGGGCTCGCTGGTTCGGATGCCCCCCACCCCCTCTTCTCATCTGTCTGGCGGGATTCATTACGGGATCTGAGATGGAGAGCTTTGTTGTACCCTGTAGCTGGTACACACATAGCACTCGTGAATCCCCGTACACACTCCCACAAAATCCCAAATTGAGAAGTGTATGCGTTCATTTAGCATGCATTGTGCCAACGTATCCTCTGGGGCTCGTATATCTACATACCTGTGTCGGAGACGAATTTGTTGCGGTTTTGTCCAGCCGAAAAAAAATAATACCAGTATTAGGCTCCAAGTCCAGTTGGACCGTCGAACCAACGCAATCTTACAGCCAGGAGGTCTGGCCTTCGGTTGTGACCGCCTCCCAACCTGTATCATCGGTGTTTTCACAACCAGGAGGTCTGGCCTAAGGTTGTGGCTGCCCCCCAACCTGTATCATCGGTGCTTGCACAACTAAGAGGGTGTGGTCTGACGTTTTGTGACTGCCTCCCAACCTTCCGCATCCGATATCCGTCCTTGTCCAACCAAGCCGTTTGGCCAAGGTTGGGGCCTCCTCCCAACCCCCCTCTACAACCTGCCCCTACCTAGGTCGCCCCGGTCGCCCCGGTGGTCTAGTGGTATCCTCGTAATCCGCTAGTCGCAGAGGTCGTGAGTTCGAATCCCCATGGGGTGAAAAAAATACGAAATTATTTGCGGGTGAAAGCGAAATATAGCTATCAAGCTCTCGTGAGTACCAAACTTCGACGTTGGCACCGTTGACGAGGGAAAGGGACGGCTGGACCCTTCTCGCGATAAAAATACAATTCAGCACGCACGGCAGGAGGAAGGTGTGGCATGAAAAGAAATAAAAAGAAGCAAAAAGCCCTGGTGTTTACCCCATCCCTGACACAACAGGAAGAAAACTTGTGTGGAATTGTGCCGAATCCCACAATCANAGGGGAATCGCTTACCAAAGCAGCAACTGCTGCCGGAATGTCGCTCTCTCTTCTCCACGCGCGCCGTGTACAAGCTCGTCTTGCCGCTCTACAGCAGCAGTGTCATGCGGTGGGTTTAGCTCGCGGCGCTTGCTGCGCCCAGAGTCCGAGCATCTAGAGATAGTATTGTAGCTGCTTGCCTTGGTTACGAAAGGAATGACACCAGCCTGGTCGCTATTCGTCTTGGCATGCTGCGGCCTCTAGTCGCCTGTGTCAAGGCTAGCTAGCTCGTCACACGAGGGCGATGCAGGGCCACCAAAAAAAGCCATGCACTAGACTGTGGTATACTATGACAATAACAATCAAGCTGCTTGATTGTTATTGTCATAGACTATACCATACTACATGCAAGGCCATGCATGCATATTTCTGCAGGGGGCTCGCTGGTTCGGATGCCCCCCACCCCCTCTTCTCATCTGTCTGGCGGGATTCATTACGGGATCTGAGATGGAGAGCTTTGTTGTACCCTGTAGCTGGTACACACATAGCACTCGTGAATCCCCGTACACACTCCCACAAAATCCCAAATTGAGAAGTGTATGCGTTCATTTAGCATGCATTGTGCCAACGTATCCTCTGGGGCTCGTATATCTACATACCTGTGTCGGAGACGAATTTGTTGCGGTTTTGTCCAGCCGAAAAAAAATAATACCAGTATTAGGCTCCAAGTCCAGTTGGACCGTCGAACCAACGCAATCTTACAGCCAGGAGGTCTGGCCTTCGGTTGTGACCGCCTCCCAACCTGTATCATCGGTGTTTTCACAACCAGGAGGTCTGGCCTAAGGTTGTGGCTGCCCCCCAACCTGTATCATCGGTGCTTGCACAACTAAGAGGGTGTGGTCTGACGTTTTGTGACTGCCTCCCAACCTTCCGCATCCGATATCCGTCCTTGTCCAACCAAGCCGTTTGGCCAAGGTTGGGGCCTCCTCCCAACCCCCCTCTACAACCTGCCCCTACCTAGGTCGCCCCGGTCGCCCCGGTGGTCTAGTGGTATCCTCGTAATCCGCTAGTCGCAGAGGTCGTGAGTTCGAATCCCCATGGGGTGAAAAAAATACGAAATTATTTGCGGGTGAAAGCGAAATATAGCTATCAAGCTCTCGTGAGTACCAAACTTCGACGTTGGCACCGTTGACGAGGGAAAGGGACGGCTGGACCCTTCTCGCGATAAAAATACAATTCAGCACGCACGGCAGGAGGAAGGTGTGGCATGAAAAGAAATAAAAAGAAGCAAAAAGCCCTGGTGTTTACCCCATCCCTGACACAACAGGAAGAAAACTTGTGTGGAATTGTGCCGAATCCCACAATCATCCTTTCGCTACTTCTGTTATCGAGACGAACAACGAGTTTTTGCCACCTTCATCTTCGCGACAGCCTGCTTTTCAACTACCGAAGTATGACTTGAGATTGAGAGACGACGACCGCGGCCGTTCGGCTTTTCATCTCTGAACGAGTTGCGACCCGTGCTGATAGTCGGCCGAAACACACATCGAGATATTTATCTTTTTTACGCACAGTTCGACCAAGTTCCGCCACAAAAACAAGGTTGTCTATTCAACAAGAACATTGCTGATCTCCGATATCGCCACGGACGGCAACTTCTAGCATGAGCCCTTTCTCGCACCCAACATCCAAGGTAAACGCACCTCAGAGCAACTCCTCCGTGTGATGTTGCATCGGAGACTAACAAGGCGCTGTACTACAGCTGGTTTACTCCGGGAGCAACGGGAAAATGGGAGAACACAACACCGAAAGAGTCTAGCCTAGGTACGTTTCTCGCGAAGCGCAACTGAACCCGCCTTCGTCGCATTTGTTCCAGGACTAAACGAACGCCACAGCGACGTACGCTCAAGAGAATAAACCTGACACCGACATCACCAGGTTCGGTACTCTACCACCCTCCCGCCGACGCCTCCCAGCCAACGCTGGTCATTCGTTTATCCAATGACAACACGTCCTTCGAGCCTAAAGAATGACCGCTCGGATATGCTGCGAGAAGTCACAGCCGCTACAGACTCCCTGGCCGTCTGACCCCGTGAGCCGTAAAGAAACGAAAATCTGAAGCTACGTTCCAAGCGCGACGAAGGTTTCCACGAACGAAGGCACCCTTTTTGACACACGCAAGCTACCACTACGCCTTAATATTCTTACGGTTCCGCGTCGAGAAGAAACCGTGCACACGGTGCCGCCTGCGCGCACGGCATCGTCTCGTCTTCGGGTACAAACGCGTACATGTCGACGTCGAGCATCCCTATCGGCAGGCCTTCTATCGACCCGAAATCATCGGATCCTGAAGAAGAATGAGAGTCGTCGCTATCATCACCATCGGAGCCGTCCTTGCCGCTTCCTTCCGCCTTCTTTCCCCCTTTTCGGCCCTTGCCATTAGCCTCTCGGTCATCCCCGCCACCGCCGTTGGGTGACGACTTTTTGCCCTTTCCTCCTTGCTCCTTGCCTTGGGCTTTTGAGCCATCGTCGCCTCCATTGCTTTTTTCGTCTGCCTCGTTATCATCGCTATCGTCGTCGTCGTCATCATCGTACTGGATGGAGCAAAACGAGTGCCGTTTCCACACGGTCAGCGTGTCGCGAGAGTGAGGCCAGCTAGGGAGGGGTACCTGGTGTTCGGGCGATGACACGCGGGGAGGGAGAGAGTGAGGGAGAGAGAGAGAAGGGGATGACGGGGACGGGGGTTGGACCACTGTCACTGCCGGTTATACACATGATTACGCCATTAGCGCATTTGTACTTGGGCTTGGGGGAAATAACGGTTTGTCTATGCCTCAGCTTCCAACCAGGCCATGCCATTGAGCAGTGCGGCCATGCACTCTCAAGAGGAACGTTCCTGCCATTGGAAACCCCTGACAACGAACTCCTCGTTCGAATGAAAATCCTGTATCTGCCTATTCTACCGGTGTGAGGAACGTGAATGCTTGGCCGGTCGTGCATATCTGTAAACACAAAGTAACTGCGAGAAAGTCTTGTGAACAGGACAACCAGAGCGAGTTCTGCAGCATCTACTTTGGGCGCGAGAGTAGGGGTGATTGGCGCACAGCAGTGACGAGCGGATTCTGCCCACATTTCAACACCACACCCACCCGGTGTAATAATTGTGATTATCCTAGTATTCCATGCCGTCAGCGTAGGGAACAGATCCAACCACCGACGAAAGCGTGGCGAACCTTAACCAGATGACAGCCTCAAGTTGTCGTGGGTCCGACCTTTAGAATGCAGTGGAACTTGGACGCCAGTTCTTCCTGGCACTCCTGCGAGGTCGTGCGACCCCACGGCGATTGGCCCGGCGTCATGCTGACAGAGTCCCCGAACAGCTCCCCGACATGGATCACCTAAGCACAGAAATCGCGCATGGGCGCCGGTTCTTATGCTACAATGGCAACGTGGAACGAACGCGCCTTGTAGAAAATGTCAAACTCGGCAAAAAAATGTTCACAGCCAACCAGGGTTTCGAGCCCGTGTGTTCTACAACCCACATGTGTGAAGGTGCACGACTATTTTGTGATACAAGTGAAAATGGCAGATACCATGGAATACGGATAAGCTTTGCGAGTATCTGCCCTCCACAGCTTCAAATGTTGCAATATAACAACAACCTGTTGACACAGCGTGCCACCTGCAGAGTAGATGGGCACTGGCCAGGAACACAACACCGTGGCCCCGGTGGTCTAGTGGGTAACCTCGCAGCCTGCTAAGGGCCAGGTCATGGGTTCGAGTCCCGACAGAGTGAGTTTTTTCTCGCTTATTTCATCCTGGTCTCCGTTGGAAGCGACGCGCTGCAAAGCTCGTTGTTAGTGAACTTGACCGACTTCATAAGTCGCGAGGGAAGGGATTGCTGTACCCTTCTCGCGGCAAAATTATCTCAGGCATGAACCGCAGGAGGGGGTCCAAACCCCCCCTCCTATGTGACCCCGGTTGGGTCGTCTAGCTGGTAGAAGTGGAGGATAGGGGCCAGAGGGGCAGACGACAGAGTCCAATGATGGGAAAAAAACAAACAAACAAAACAATCTCTGTCGTCGCTACCGGACGGACGCAAAAGCACACACCACGTCTCCTTCGAAAGCGTGCAAGCAGCGGAGACCCAGGCTTTCCGTCTCTCCCTCGAAGTCGTCCGGGTAGCACAGGAACAGCGAGCGGCCCTCGTTGCACGGTTCTTCCAACACGTCGGGGCCACCCTCATTCACCTGCATTGCATACGATGACATGGTTTGTCAAGCAGGAACACCCACCGCTACATCAGCACCGACAAAGGGACAAAAGGAGCGGATCAAGCTCGGTGAGGACGATATCGCCTGCACTTCGCAGAAACCGTAGGCGGTGTGGTGCTAACATGTTGTCGCCTCGAAGCCCTTGGCCACTCGGTTTATCGCAGAAAAGGTTCACCCAAGCATCGACATGTATCGGACGCCGAAATAAAAGAACATTTCTTTAATGTTGGAAAGCGCCACAGTATCCACTCACAACCTGCTCATACAAAGCAGGACGCGCAGAGCGGAACACTACCGTAATAAACCAGTATTAGGCCGGTCTAGCTGATCCCGCCCGTGCAGAGAGACGGCGCTACTGTAGGGTCGCAATGAAGGTGGGTTTGTCATCTATTCGTCCACCGCACATGACAGGTGCACATTTCACTCTTCGGCGCGATTCGCAAAAAGCACAGGCGAGAACAGGGGGCGCGCATTATCCGCCCAACAAATCACGAATCCCCACCGACCTTGATCCAGAACGAAGGCGTCTCGTCTCCCCCGCCCTCGTCAGCGTCCTCCTTAACAACCCCTTCGGCTGCACTTTTGACCTTGGCGTCTTTGCTCGTACTCTTGCCCTTGGTTCGAGAGGAGTCGGGTGCTGCGGAGGCGGTGTCCGGGGTGCCCGCCACCTTGTCGTAGGCGTTGATGTCCACACCTCGGGCGCGCAAGAGCTTCGCCCAGTACCCCAGCCCACTGCCAATCTGCGTGGAGAGTAGGCCGGAGGCAAGGTGTGGGGACTCGGGAGAGTGGCGAACCGTGCTGCTGCAGATGAGGTCGCGAGCAACAAAAAGTTGTACTTGTCTCACCCGTCAGTTGGCATCCGACGAGGTGAATAGATTGTGCTGATGCGTGGGGGCGAGGGCACGTGCTACAGCTGTCGCCATGGGCCTGACGCTGGTCCCAACTGCAGTGACCCTTGGGGCGGTATTGAGTTCGTGTTGAGAAGCACGGGCGTCATGTTTGAACACGCCCTTAAGGTCTGTCGCAGCTGCCGTGGGCCCCGAAAATGTGCAAGGTATCTGTAGATCGTACGTCACACGAGCCTTACCCTTAAAAACTGCCTGGTGCTGATCGCCCTGCTCTCTCTGTCTCGCTGTATTGAAGCTAGCATTTCCAGCGTTCTGTTCAGTTTAGTTATTGATTGGCGGGCTGAGGAGGAGGTATCACACTACACAGTAGTATCGCAGCCATCAGACTGCACAGCAGTACACGGCAGAGGTGCTTGCGGCAGGGTCGTGTTTACACAGTTGCACCAGTTCCTTCTCACCTCCACGATGGGGCCGAAATGCTTTATGATCCGAAGCGCCCTCTCGTCCGGAATAGCCCAGGCAAACCTATAAAAAACAAACATCGAGCACAACAGGGTGGGATATCACCGAGGAAATGCCAAATCACGTGAGCGGTTCATATTCGGAGGAAGGCAGAGTTCATTCAGAACCTGCTGTCCCTGTGGACCACAGGCAGCAGTGGGGCATTTTACGAAGAGTGAATGGAAACTGAACAAAACGAGTTGTTGCTTGGAGAGATTATTGCTTGGAATGAAACCCGATGATCCTGCCAGCAGTACGGATCGGCTGGTGCAGGCAGACCCCCACGCCGAAAAGTCCGCATGGCCACACGGTCGCCCCGGTGGTCTAGTGGGTAGCCTCGCAGCCTGCTAAGGGCCAGGTCATGGGTTCGAGTCCCGGCAGGGAGAGTTTTTTTCTCACTAAATAAATCCTGGTCTAGGATGAAAGCGACGCGCTGCAAAGCTCGTTTGTTAGTAAACCATAATCGACTTCGTAAGTCGCGAGGGAAGGGATTGCTGTACCCTTCTCGCGATAAAAATACCTCAGGCATGAACCGCAGGAGGGGGTCCAACCCCCCCCTCCTATGTGACCCCGGTTGGGTCGTCTAGCTAGTAGAAGTGGAGGATAGGGGCCAGAGGGGCAGACGGCAGAGTCCAATGATGGGAGAGAAACAAAAAAAAAACAAAAAACCTCAACCCGAGCAATGGAACGTGTGTTCGTCCACACACGCACCGACTCACCGCTGCCTCAGAACATCGCCCCCCGAACACATGATCTCCCACAGCTCGGAGCGCCGTTCATCAGGCAGCGATGGGTCTAGAAGTCTAGCCATCTCCTTCGGCCATGACGCCCTCAGCTTCTTGAACTTGTCCAGCAACTCGATCGACGTGCTCTTTGCGCCCGCACCATCAGCACCAGCAGCAGTCGCGCCCACCGGCGTTGCTGATCCTGTTTTGCGTTTCTTCGAGGATGGTGCCATCGTTTACGGAGGTAAAAGCGGTGTCGGCGAGCTCGGATAGAAGCTTCTGTGCAGGATTCGCGGAGGGACACGACAGAGACGGCGTCGTGCAGCAGGCTAGCGCAGCGCCGAGGAGTGCCAGCGTGCCAGCCACGTGCCGCAGGACTGTCGGCAGAAACGCGGCGGAATTTCCAAACGTTTTTTTTTTTCTTGAGAACGTTCTCGAGAACGGTTGATTCTCGAAAAAAGAAGCCACCCACCCCCACTCGGTCACACCAGTGCACGACCCACACGCCAGTTTTCTTCACGGCAAAACCACAGCCACAGCACAGCAGCAGCAGCAGCAGCAGCAGTGACAACAAACATGGCGCACCTCGTGAAAATTAAACTCGATGGAGACTTGCGGATCATGGAGATACCCAACCCCCCGCGCTTCGACGAGCTTGTGAAGACGGTCATGGACGCCTACAGCATGCCCGCTGGAGTCGAGCAGCAACTGACCTTCACCTACAAGGACAACGATGGCGATGAGGTGAAGACAATAAGAAGAGGCCCCTGCTTGACGCTCGATAAGCGGGTCTCGTGTGGCTACACGGGGGGGGACGGGTAGGCTTTGTTTTATTATTTTGATTCCATTCCTCGTTTCCTCTCTATGGTCCCGCTTGCGTGAGCTGGGCCCAAACACGGCGAGCGAGAACTCTTCAGAAAACACCACAAACACCCAACCAAGTTGAACTGGCGTTTCTAGAACTGACAAATGATTGTTTTTGTGTGGCAGGACGGTAGGGATATGAAAGGGGTGCACAACGAAGTGGGTGTGTTGTAGCATGACGAAGAATGGAACTGTGGGTTCATGGTCGATGGGGAGCTGCGCGCCTCATAGCCCAACGCTTCGTTCCGAGATTTTACAATTTTGCACTCCCAACCAAATACAACGTTGGCGGCGCAAAGGGCATCACGCCCGAATGTGCATGTGACTTTATTACGGCGTTTTCGACGATCGGAGAAAGACACGTGTATCGAGCTTGTGTGCTTGACGCATTCTGTAGAAGACGAGCACCGCACAAACCTGGTGCCCATAATCTTTGCAGCTACCTCTAGTCTGGCAGTACGCTGGCGCAGCAGGCGTTTTTTCCAGGCTAGACTGGACATGATTGAACAGCAGTGCTGTTGACGTGCCTGTATCACAGCAATATCTACGCATCTATGTACTACGTTCAGATGGACGAAGATCAGATCTGCCCCTTGATTAATCCAGTGGTCATCCCTTCGTGTTGGGCTCGTAAGAGCGCACGTGTCATAAAAATAAAGGGGTGATGCGAGATGATAAATAAAAGCAGGTATGTAGCAGGACCAACTCGCAGACGACGTGCTCTTGACTACAACATCCCAGCGGCGAACCACAAGGACAAAATGACAAATCTGTGCGGTTCACTGCCTTGTTCTTGAGCAGTCTTTAGCGTCGAAGTCGGCAGACTTTGTTCTCGTGTTTACCCCGCTGATCGGTATCAACATCATCTTTCAGCATGTTTATGTTTACCGATTACTGTGTAGGCCTACGGCCAGAAACAATGGGGAACCGCAGGAGGGAGTCCAGCCCCCCCCCCCTCCTATGTGACCCCGGTTGGGTCGTCAAGCTAGTAGAAGTGGAGGATAGGGGCCAGAGGGGCAGACGACAGAGTCCAATGATGGGAGAAAAAAAAAAAAATGGGGCAAAAAGGCACACTCACGGCGGTACGAAGGGGTCTGAAACGAGCACGGGTGCGAAGTAGCAGCCTTCGTACACATGTGCAGTTCTCTTTTGTGGTTACCGTACCGTTTCTGTCTTCAGTCCGGAGAGGAGTGTAGCCTCCTCCATGACGCCCCATATACGGGGTCCCAGATTTAGGCCTTTCGAAGCATGTTCCTGTGTTCAAACCGCACAACCAAAACACCCTCTTGTTGCTGTCCCAAGAGATAGCAGCAGCACGTCGTGCCTATCCTTATCCCGAACGGTTGGTGTTTCAAAAATATTTGGGCTTTCCGACTTCTAGCCCCTTTGCATGCACAAGGGACTTTGATTTTTCGATTTTGTCGATTTTGCCCGGTGGCACTGACGCCTTCCATTGGTCGGCCGGTTGGACGCCAATAAATCAAAGGCATGCACCCTCTTATTGTCGTGAAAGGTCGATGATGCGCTTGAGTTGGTCGAGAAAGATGGTGCTCAGTAAGAGATGGAGGCTACCTTTCCACCGTTTCTCCTACACGTCTCCGCTTGGAGCGAACAGCTCGTTGCACGTCCCCCCACGTTCAACGACTAGTGTCGCAACAACACTCGAACATGAAACTGAGCACCCGCGTGTAAGCTTCTTGTGTGGCCCTCCTGTGTTTTACCCCGGCTGGCTCGTCCTAAGATGTACCGGAAGAGCACTAAAACCTGCGTCAACTGCCGCCAATAAATGAAATGATGACAGCGCACAAACGGCACGGTGTTCTTGATGCCAGATGTTTGTCGTGCGAGCGTTTTTTTTTCTTGTGACAGTTATTTTACTTGTTTCTGCGTTTGTCGTGCATAACTGTTTTTTCTACTGCCGTAGCAGTATCCGAGTTTTCCCTGTTGGCGTCGCAACCAACCTGCTTACCGCGGAAAATGTATCGCACCTCAACGGCGGCCTACCTTTAACAGTACACATGATCACATCAAATCCTTCTCACCCCATGCCTTGTTTCCCGTTCCCTTTGACCATCTTTTTTCTTCTCTCGCACGCAACAGGTTCGCTTCGACACCAACGCCGAGCTAGACCTGGCCATTCGCACCTCGTCGGTGCCCCTCCGCATCATGGTCGCCAACCCGCCGCCCTCCTCCTCCGCCTCCTCCTCTTCGCGTAGCACCCCCAACCCGGAGGCCACCAGCGCCGCTCCCCCGTCCATCCCTTCCACCCCCGGCTACGCGGTCGCCTCCAACGTAGGCTCGGCGGTGGGCGGCGGCGATGAACCCGACATGATAATGGTAGACATGCCGGGAGAGGCCGCCGCCGCCGCGGCCGGCCCGAGCGGGGGCTCCGTGGATGGTAGCCAAGCCGACGGCCCGGAGAAGGAAGCGATCAACCCGCAGGCGGCCTTCGAGGCGGAGGCGGCGGCCGCGAGGGACCCGGAAGGGAGCCTGCTCTACCAGAAGGCGTCGATGCGCCTGGCGAAGCGCTTCAAGGTGCACCTGACGCCAACCCAGCTGTGGCGGGTCATGGCCCTCTTCCAGATCCAGGGCAGGCAGCTAGTGGTCTTCGGGCTGGCGCCGCACCGGTCGCTGGATGCCGCCGCCGCCGCCGCCTCAGACTTGGACTCCTCGGACGAAGAGGGGGGCGAGAACAAGCCCTCCGCCGTCCGCGGCCTGAAGCGAAGCAAGAGCCAGGTGGCGGGGACCATCGTGGCCGACCACGTTCAGCGCCTTCTCGGACTCAACGGCGTCGAGCTGCCCGAGGACGAGGTGCAGCCGCTCCTCCAGGCCCTGCGCGTGCGCTCCAGGCGCCTGGTCAGGCTCGGTCTCCTCGGTCCCGAGTTCCTGGAGGACATGCCGGACGGCCACTACCACCGCGACGCGAAAGGCCCGCGGGGGGGCCCGCCGGGCCACCCGATGCACGGGCATGGGCACGGGCCCGGAGGCCGCTTCGCCGGCCGCGGTGGCGGCGGCAGGGGTGGTGGTCCCCCCTTCGGCAGGGGGGGCGGGCCGCCGCTCATGATGCCGTTCCACTGGCCCCCGCCGTTTCACCACCAGGGCGGAAGCTTCTCTGGTCCTCACGGCGGCGGCGTAGCCGAGGGTGCTACGCACCGGTCTCCGCCTCGGCGCGTACCGCCCCCCCCGCACATGATGGGCATGGGCATGGGGGGTCCCCCGATGGAGCCGTCCCACGGCCACCACCACCAGCGTGGAGGAGGCCGGCACCCTCCCCCGCCGCACATGCGCGGCGGTGACCTTCACCACGAGGACGGCGGAGGCGGCAGCAGCGGCGGCGGCGGTGCCGACTGGTACGGCGGGCCCCCTCCCCACTACCACCACGACATGTGGCAACACGGGCCCCCTGGCTACGACTTCGCCGGCGGTTTCCCCGGCGCTCCCGGGGCCGGCTACGGGTATGGCTACGCCTTCGGCGGCCCCGGTGGCGGCGGGTGGGGTGGATGGGGCCGCCACTGCGGCGGCGGCGGCGGCGGCTCTGGGTGCGGAGGAGCCGCCAAGCGCGGCTTCGGCAAGGGCACCAAGGATAACATGGCCATGGCGAGGTTCGTGTCTCACACCTCAGGCAGCGACGTGACGAAAGTGGCCGCCGGCCAGGCGTTCAAGAAGTCGTGGCTCGTCCGCAACGATTCCACCACCACCTGGCCCGAGACCTGCTCGCTAATCCCCGTCAGCCAGAGCTGCACGGACCTGTCCTCGCCCCCCGAAGCCCCGATCGTGGGAGACGTCTCCCCCGGAGAGGAGGTGACGGTGTCGGTGGACCTGGTCGCGCCGCCGCAGCCGGGCATGTACGAGGGGTACTGGCGCGCCTGCGACGACGCCTCCCGCAAGTTCGGGCAGCGCCTGTGGGCGAAGGTGATGGTGGTGGGCCCCGGAGAGGAGGTGAATGCAGCGGTGGAGAGGCTGTCCCTGGAAGAGAACGGAAACAAGGACAACTAACAAGACAACACGGCGGCGCCAATAATGTTCCTGGCTTCGGTTTAGATTTAAAAAAGCATTTTTTTTTTTTTCGAGTCTGATATTGCCCCCCCTCGTGTTGGCGCCGCTTGTTCTCGGGCTTTTCTGCCCCCGCAATCCCGCGCGCCCCGTCATGATACCGTGTTTGCGGTTCGGTGGCGCGTGAGAACGTAGCGTAGAGAAAAGGATTTTGCATAGTGTTCGCCAGGGAGGCGGACAGTGATTGTTTTCATTCTTAGTAGATCGGGGAGTTGTCTTCGTTCGAAAGTAGGACGGGGACTTCGTTCTCGGTGTAGGAAAGTGATCAGTTGTCGGTGGCAGGAATTGGAGGGTTTGCGTTGTGGCTGTTCTATAGCCGCTTCGCTAGGCTCCAGGTCTTAGCCGTCGAAAACGTTCGCTTTGTGTCTGTGGTGCTTAGTCTTCCGTTTTTTCGGTGCGGGAGATTCTGCATAGCGCGGTAAATGGAAAGCGCGAATTGATGGTAGTTTTGTTCACTTGGTTCACACAAGGTCGTGTGGTCAACAAGAACGTACGTTCAAATATTCTCAAGATTTTTATGGTGAGGGAGTAGGAAACCTAAAAACCCTTTGCCGCGATTGGATGCCGTGTGCGGTCGCCGGCACTCCCGACGAGGCGTGTGTTGACGGCACAATGACGAGGTACGAATCAATCATATGTGCGCAACGTCGTCGTTTTTTGTTCGTGCACCTCTTTGGCTTTTGTTGGGTCGTACCCGCTTTTTCTTCGGTGATCTGTGCAAGGAAGTACTGGAGTTGAACGGGTGCAGCTGCTCGAAGCACCATGCGGAACGTTTTGCATGATGTCGGGACCCTTGTGCACGCCAGAGATGAGCTTGCAAGGAGGATAGCTGTTTTCGGAGTGGGTACATATGTGACGCCGAGCTGAATTTTTTTTTCGTGGCAAGTCTATGTTCTATACGCATGCATGGAAACGGCGCACCGTTCACTGAACAAATGGCGTAGCGGTAGGTTTTGTCTTTTGTTGTGGACCCGAGGCTTTCGCCAGGGGTTGATATGCTAGCTTAACGGAAGGATACTCTTCAAGGTTTGCAACAAGTGATTTGAGGCTTTCAAAAATGGGGGTCCGGTGTGTTCAAGTTTGTCGGGGGGAAGGAAGGGTTCATGGTAGCTACGCTGACCCATTTAATTTCGCTATCGGCATTCGGAAACAAAGTATTTGGTTCGAAGAAGAGAAAAGGTTCAGCGAACACGCCCGGACAAATATTTAAGTGATATAAAAAAAGTACTTGAGTTTATTTCTACCATACCCCCCTCTCTCCGCTGGGAGGCAATCAGCGTTCGAGTGCCAACCATTCGCTGGGTACAAACGCCGGCAAGACCTAAAGACCTACCAGTGACTCAGGTGCCCGTATCACCCGCTTGGTATTGCACCCGTCGCCGCTGATCGGAACAGAAACAGGAAAGAGTTGGCATTTTTTTACGACATTGTCATCGACAAGGGAGAGAGAGGATCGGCACGCCGAAGGAGGGCTCTTTCGCCAATTTGGAGTTCATCTTTTCCGGCATTCACGTTACGGGTATCATATCCCACGATAGCCTGCGGAAAAAAACGTGTCCTAAACTATGATAAAAAGTTTTGCCCTAGCCTACGGAGAAAACGAAAAAACGGAAACCTCAAGGTGAAGCGAGGCAAAGAGGGAGCTCCCCCCGGCGTTTTCGGCCAGGCGTCTTTTGCCTTTGCTTGAATTCACCACAGGGTGTTACGGCATTAAAACCGTATGGAAGCGAATCCAGCCCACCGCTGGAGATACATGCTGCTGTTCCTCAGCACGAGATATAACATTTACGACCATCAATGAGCACGGCTCCGCACCGCGCTCCAGCCGCTGTACCCTCGACAAAACAAATCACCGCTAGCCACCAGACAAGAATAGGAACGAAAGCAACTGCCCACGGATGCGTTCCAGAAGATCACTGCTGTTCACATGCACATATGAAACACATCAATCACAAACAAGACGGTGCGCAACCGAAGGGGTACTTCGAAGTTTAAGGCAGCGAGACAAACTTGCTGGTGGCGCACATCTCCTACACGTCAAAACCGGCGCTGAACGACCGTTTAACAACACCACTCTGTGCGGTAAGGACCGTTCGGATACCAAATGTATTTGTCCCAGTGGTCCCTATATTTTCCAAACGGAGCGATGCACGCCTGTGGGGATACCTCGCCTCCTGCACGACCCCAATCCCACCGCAGGTTCCACCGGACTGCCTACGCAAAGAAAGTAAGGTTACTACAAGAGACAAGGAAGGGGACACGCAGACCGTAACCCTAACCCCAATGTAGCCGATTCTTACTGTATCCAGTAAGTTTGCTTACTTTGGAAAACCCTGCGTAGACTGCTGTTCGAAAACCCACTCTCATGACTGTTTCGACCTCGACACCCCTTCCGGCCATCACAACCAACAATGATGAGATTATGCGTCATGCGTCGCGCTTCGACTGGCGAGCCTCGAGCTCGGTCTCGAACTTCCGCACGTCGCACCGCTGCAGGAAGTCTTGCTTGTTGAGGTACCCTTTCCCGTCCTTCGTGGCCTGCTCCATGTCTCCCTCGATGCCCTCGGCCGCTTTGTAAGTCTCCCAATCCATAGAAGATTTCGTTACCTTTTCGGGAAGGAGGGGGG